TGGTCAGATTTCGGCCACCGGGTTAAGCGTAATCGGGGTGGCTTCTCAAGGCGACGGCCTCACTTACACTGTAACGCTTGTGAAAGATTTGAGGTCCGCCATTACGGAGGGAACGGTTTGGGTGGAAGAGGGAGCAGTGCAAGACGTGGCCGGGAATCCAAACCAAGGCTCGGAGGTTTTGAGAATCAGCTTCGGTGAGCACGCCTTCTTGTTAGGAGCTTAGTAGCCTAGATTTGGATGCTTTGTTGCTAGTAAGAAGGCCTGGGATCTTATTCATTGTTCTCACAGGGAAGGGCGGCCGCAGGCGATTCAAGCTCTTTTTCAGGTTTCAAACTCCTGTCGTGCAATGAGTTCGGTTTTGTGGGGGGTCTCTAAGTATCCTTTCAACTCTCGAGTATGAAGGGTCGAGACTCATGTCGAGGGCCTTTGGATCGAAAATCTTGGGTAGAGCTCGTGGCATTAAGAAAATTGAGCGGCCAACGTCTGATGAGCTTGATATCCTGAGATGTACGAGGCTTCGAAATCTGTCCACATCTTCCTGCAAGATCGAAAGAGGACTTAGCGTGAGCTCCGTTCTGCCAGGGATTTGCTCATCCGCAAAATACGATCGAATCACGGTGCACAGAAAGTTTTTTCAAGACGATCAAAAAGTCTGCAAGTCCAAACAGGGCTCCGAAACCTTGTTGAAGCCATTCGCTTGTAACTCCTTGAGAAGCGAGGCTTGCTGTCCTCTGGAGCCGAATACCGCCTCGAACGCCAAAAAACTTCTTCTGAGCCCGAAGAAGAAAGACCAAGCACGATTGCGCTTCCCCCTTCAGGCCCCTCCTCGCGCGCCGCGGCCGCGGCCGCGCTCGGCGCGAGGCTCGTCTCCCGGGGCCTCGTAACGACCACCGGCATCTCTTTAGCGGCGCTTCTCCCCACAGTACTTCTCCAAACGAGCGACCTCCTCGGTGCCTGGGCAGGCGGTATACCGAGTGCCGCTCCGGGCGCGTTCACACCGCGCTTCGCGACCCGGGGCAACCTACTGGGAATAATCGGGACGGTGCAGACGTTCGCGCTATTTCGGAAGCTGGCAATCCGCCAGTCCGCTGCGTTTCAGGAAGTGATCGGAAGCCTCGCAACGATGGTAAGACTGTGACGACATCGTCTACGAGATTATTTATCCGCAGAAAAAGAGGCTAGACCTACGTTGGAGACCCTGAATGAGGATTTTGAGGGTTCTGCTGAGGATTGCTGGTACGAGGCGTCACGAATAGCTTTCCACGGCGTTCTTAAAGGCGATGCAAAGAGGGTGGATGAGATTGAAAATCTTGGGAAGCCTTAAGCGTCTCCTGATGGCAGATGAGCAACATTGGACCAAGTTACTTGAGTAAAAGCAGATGATCGGTGTCAGCAAACACAGGATGAGAAACCTACGCAATAGAATTTTCTCTATTCCCCGCCTTTGCTCCATAGCTTTGTGGTTTTTTCTACTGTTGCCGCTTCTCACATCCCCATCTGCTCTCTTTTAGCCTTCGTCAGAAATTAGAAATGGTTTTGACCACAACGACCTAACTTTGCAGAATTTGGAAAGCCGTCCAATGACGTCACTTGAGGTCGCCTACGCTGCTGCCCCTGCGCCGGCCCCGTGGGCTTCCATTGCCGGATTCCGGAGGCGACTCCTGCAGAACGGAACCGGAACAGGCACCCCCGACCCAGCTTCGGTGTCGACAAGCCGAGCCGAAGGGTGAGGACTGATCCACAAGTTTTCAGAAGTCAGCTGGCAAGCGATTTTGAATGCAGAATAATCTTGATTTCGCCGCAGGATCCGCCGCTGCTTTGCGACATGAAGCATTCAGTCTCTGATAGCGCTCTTCAAAGAGAAGCGTATGTTATACCCTGAGGCGATCCATAATTTTGTCGTGGGTGGTGAATTGTCACTTGGCTGAATTCTTTCAAATGAATTGATCTCCCAGATTCGATAAGCATCGCACTCTTGCCTGCTTCATCCAATCGTCTTTTCACAGACTCGACGAAAACGGCTCAATACAGCCTCGACTCGATTCAAAAGTAAGAGTCTGGACCATCTTTACGCCTACTATCGTTACGATTTTATACCCCTCCAGACTTGACCGTGTCACCAGGTTCCAGCATAGCTCCTCAAGCGCCCAGAATCCCCAGCAACCAGCTGAATCTTCCTATCTCCTCTTCATCACAGTTGGCACACTTCCGGGCTCATATTCGGACGCGCTCTCATCGTTCTGTCTGCGACGTCCGTCGTCCGGACCGCACTAGCGTACGTGTGGAAGCGCATCTTCAACCAAAGCTTACCGGACCTGCTTCTGTTCCCAAGAGCTGAGCTCCAAGCGGGAGCCTTCTGCTTCTATCCGGTGTCCATCGCGTGCGCATCGCTTCTGCAAGGTGGGTCTAACGCTTTAAGATTAAACAAACGTGATCTTTTCGACATGGACAACTCTGTCTGTCAGGGGACGTAAGGAAAAAGCAGAAGTCCAGGAAAGATGACTTCACCTGGCAGGTGCATTACGAAAAGGGTAGGTCCCGACAAAGGAGACAAAAGGATCGTGAAGAGTACCACTTAAGAACAAGTTCTTGATCGCACATACAGTCGCATCTAAACTCTGCTCATATTTTAGCAAACGGAGAAAAGACGGATGCTTAAGGAATGCGGTGTTGGTAGAATTGTCAGAGGCCGACGTGACCTTGAGGAGAGTCAGTCGTGCGGTTCTCTAAAGACTCAAACAAGGCTGACGTAAGACCATCGTACAAATTCATCTCCTTCAATGTTTTTTCATCCGGTGACAGTGGTGTTTAGGGGAGTAAGCGCACTGTCTCACGTGACGTGGCTCCAAGCTTTCTCTAGCCTCGCCTCTGCTCGCACCTTTTTCGAGTCCCTTAAGATCTCCGCCCTCCTTAAAAGATCATGAATGAATCATCGATTTCATACTTCCCTTCTGCAGGCCAATCGACGGCACAGGCCTTTGTGGGCGCTCTACTCCTTCTGCTCATTCCGTGCTCCGCCATCATCGCAGTGCTGGGTTTCCTTGCGACCCACGTCATCCTGGTAAGCCGTACTCACCCCCCTTCTTAGTCCTGATTCCGTAGAGAATGGGCTCGGAAATTCATACAGACTCCCTGTCGCGACAAGATTCCCTGTCGCGCGGCGCGAACGTGAATTGGAGGAATCCAGCCCAACACTGAAGGCTGCCGTTCAGCTTGCTGCCGTCCAAAGAAAAACTTTCACGACGGTGAACGTCGAGCAGAAACCGCTCGGCCCTCCACCCTCAAAAATTCGACGCAACTTTTGCCTCACTAAAACACCAGCTCCAGCCAGACTGTCACCAAGTATTGAACCTTCGTCACCAAGTCTTGACAGAAACAATCCGGATTTTCCTGTTTGTGCGCCTGACGTGACACGAAGTTTATTCACAGGGATCGGAGGCGTACTTCGAGCCGTCCAGAGGTTCTCCGAAGGCGCTCACGTGGCGCGGTCGCGCGGTCGCCGCCTGCTTCGGCGTGCCCTGCGCGGGGCGGTGGACCGACGCGCGCCGGACGCACGGACGTCCGGTCGAGCGATTCGGACTCCTTTTCGAGTCCGTTCGTCCTCCAGTTTGTAATGGACGGAAAAGCTTGTTTAAGAGAGAAACTTCAGCTGCAGAGAACGATACGAACGGGCGTCCGCAAATTTCGAACGCGTCCGAGCGGAGTGGGGCAGATATCGGACGCATTGAAGGGTCCGAAAGCGGTGGAAAAAGGATTGAGCGGCCCGGATTGTCCGAGATGGGTGGGCAGAGTTCTCGAAGGATGAAACCACTCCTGCTTGGGGCAGGACTGGGTTGGCCTGTTGCGGACGGTGCGCGCGCGCTCGTCCGGATGCTGCGGACGTGCCACGTGGGCGCGATCTTCACGAAGCGGCTGGTTTTTGCGGCGCTTCTCGCAGCGAGAGAGCGCCACGTGGCGGGCTCGGAGCCGGGGCTGAGCCAAGTGGGCCTATCTCTGACGACGTCAGCGGCCTTCCTCTCCTGGCTGTTGATTGCCAAACCTTACGTCAGCCAAGCCTTGCAAGGCGTCGAGATGGCGACGGGATTCGTCGAAGTTTTTACGCTGAGCTTAGCGCTGCAATCTGGCCGGGTGGAGCGGAAGGCATTCCAGCGCGGAACTGCGGGCACCGGAAGCTTGACGGAAGAAGAAAGGAAATTGGGCGCAGGGATGCTGGGGCTTCAAATCGTGGCCGTTGGAGTGCAGACGGGGTATCAGTGGTGGGCAGCCATTGTTGGGTTAAGAGCACACTGGAAGATGTGGAAGGAGAGACGAGAAGTACAAGCAGAGAAAAGAAGGTCTTCTGAGATGCTTAGGAAGAGTGAAAACCATTTGACGTCGAACCGAGGGAGGGATAGGGGACCAAGAGACCTTCAGTCTGTATCGGGGGATAAGGAGGGGCGGGGTGCTAAACGTGAAAGAGGAGAAGATGAGGTCAGAGAAAGGATGAGCGCGGAAGAGGCGCCAACGAGAACGGAAAGGGGTGCAAGAGGTGGGGCAGCGCTACGTGTCAGCAAGGCAAGGAGGCGTAATAAGAGAAAGGTGATTACGTCTTCCAGCGCCAAGCACGAAACTGAGTTTGACGACAACTGGGGCCATGTGGCTTCGGATGTGGACCTGGCTTTGACCCAGTGGTTGGAGGAAGATCTGGAAAACAAGAGCGGAATCTTAAGCGGATCGGAACGGGTGACAGGGAACGGAATGAGTTCCTCGAGAGGATTTGTGAGGAAAGAAGCGGAACTTGGCGTGTTTGCTGCGCAAACCAAAACGGTGCGCACAGCGGAGGTGAGGGAGAGCGCGTCGCAAGAAGCGCGCGCAGCGCGCGGTGACCGGAAGGAACGAAGTCGGAACGGAGAAACGGAACGGAAGCAAGGGAGGACGGGACGCAGCGCTGATAGCGGGGCGAGCGAAATTTCCGAGGTTCTCTCCGCAGGCAGCGGCGGCGGAAGGAAAGCAAAGTCGAGAAAAGCGTCACAGCAGTCGGACCGTCCCAAGAGGGCCTCGTCAGATGCTTCGACTCGACGTCGAGAAGGATCCGGTAAGGTTAGGAGTCTCTCGCCTCACAGCGGTGGACAGGATTTAGTGTCAAGGCCTCTCTCCGAGGGGATAAGAGAAGTGCCGATGCGCGCGAGCGAGTCGGGGAATAAAAGCACGCGCGCTGCACGGCTGGGGCGGCTGAAGAGCCGGCGCAAGGTGACTGCCACCGCCACCATGACGTATTTCGTCGTGTCCGAATCGGACGAATCGGAGGCGTCCGATGGTGAGGATCGGACGGCGGGGGTAAACGTGCGCCCCGCGCTCCGCCGGAACATGGTGGCCAGCTTTACGTTCAAGACGGAAGCCGAAGGTGTTGGCAGAGATTGGTAGCAATATCGGAGTAGAAAACAGAGAGAATGTGCTCTTCCTTGTTGCAAAGGAGAACGGCCACCTTACTTGGATGAAGTATTGCTTATGCTATGTCAGAAGCGCGCAACAATCAGGTCCTTTCTGAAAACTTGTGTTGTGTTGATTCATGTGTCCAAAGTCAAACCTTGGGTTACTTTAATCTAGACGGTTAGTCAAGCTCATTCAACCGTCGATTTATCTTCAACGAAGGGACAGTTTGGCGCGTGCAAATTTATGTCCGCGGGTTCAGATCGCACACTGGAGCTGTCATCTTGCGGACAGATTGTTCAAGGTCAGAGCTGTGAGTTGTCCACACCGCCCGTACTATCGTATCAGATATACGGTAGTAGGCCCGTGATGGGCGCAGGCTTAGAGCATGCCAACTTATAGACCAGCTACCAGAAAGCTACCAGAACAAGCCAAACTGCTCAATTGAAGGGCCAGGCTGCGCGCGCAAAGTAAGCAGGGACACAGCTCAAGCGGGGCTTAAGCGTCGCACAAAAAGAGGACGCCGAAATTGGCACCAAGAAGTTCCATAACTTCTGTAGCAGTTGCAGCTACACACTACGTCTGACTTTCCATGGCATACACTTATGAGAATTTGTGAGGGTCTACTTGAATGTCCTTCTACCGAGCCTAAGGCAAATTATTTCAACGCTTGAATTCTCATAAGTTCATAATCAGGTGGACCTCTGCAAGGCTCGCACTCACCTCGCACTCATGATCTCATGAGCTAGCATTCCGATG